ATATATATAATATATATATATATAATATATATATATGTATAATATATATATATATATATATATATATATATATATATATATATATATATACACATGCATATATATACACAAACACACAATGTATATATATATATATATATATATATATATATATATATATATATATATATATATATATATATATATATATATATCCTGATCAAACATGTGTCGCCATGCTTCACGCCTGTTTGCCAAGTCTTTGGCTATGTATTACTATATGTTTTGTAATAATTTCAGCAAATTTAGCCTCCGAGCTAGTACAGTGGTAAAGTGTCGGCTTCCCATCCGAGGGGTCGCCCAGGCGCGAGAAGTTGCAATTGTCGCCTGGAGGTTACTGCTGTGGCTGGGCACCACGGCGGTTAAGGACAAAGCCGAGTCAACTGAAACACGTTAGAGAGTCGGCATTAGTCGACACAGGCCGGGCTTCCCTCATGGGCATAGCCCGGGCGAGGCCCAGCTTCGCATATCGGACTTATCCTTATCAGCAAACTTATGTAAACCGTCGCACTTTTTTTTAATATAGTTAGAATTGTCAGTGTATTATGTATTTTTTTTTCACATGAAACGTGTGTATGTGTTTTAGTATGTATGTAAGCATGTACTTTTGATTTCATTCAGTTCAGCCCAATAAAGTTTGCTTAGAAAAAGAAAACACGATAGTTGTCCCTTAAAATGTTTTTCTTTGAAATTTGGCATCAAACTAAAATTTACAATCAAATGCCTCCCAACAAATGAAACAAATCTTTCGAATATCGTAAAGTTTTCAAAACATTACAGAGGCCCTATCCGCTAAGTTTAAACTCTTACATCTAATAAAAGTAAATAATTATTTTAGTTATCTATTCAATAAACCGTTTTCTTTTAATGCAGCAATAGAGAAAACGGAGTAATATGGCTAACTAATGAAATAGGCATTTATACACCTAAAACTATAACTATATATCTAAGCATCTGTCTACCTACACAAACACACAAATATATGTGCATTTATATAAATTAATACACGCACACATATATGTGTCTGTGTATGTGTAATATGATGTATCTCTAGAATTATTGTTGTTAAATACATCGGCGTAGGGGCATTTAAAATTTAGGGGGGGCTGCAAATTTTCTGCCCGAGTGAAAGAGGAAGAGAAATTTCACCTGCCAGAAAATTTGTGGTGAATGCCACCAGTGGCGTAGATAGAGGGGGTTGGGGGGGGCGAAAAAAAAACCTATAAGGCTAAACTGCCATTTTCTCGGAAAATTTCTGCACTTGTCGGAAAAATAACGATGGTTTTCTGTTTCGTTTAGTTCTAGTGGCCTTATGTTATGTTCAAAATAATCAAAAATGAGAATTAGTGTAATTTTTTTGTCGGGATATCTTCATTTCTAGCCCCCTCTATGAATTTTCCTATCTACGCCCCTGCCCAAAATTGCCCG